GGATGGGGGTGGGTGGGGGGTGGGTCAGGTTGTGTAGCGGGGGGAAGGGGGGAGGTCGTTCATGCTGTGGAGTGTGGCGCATGGAAGCTTGTGGGTATTCTGGGGGGGATCATCCTGGGGGGATCATGGTGTGCAAAGCGTTGCATGCACACGCGCCTGCCGCGCGCATGTGAGTGCGCATGTGCACGCGTAGCCTCGCGCGCATGCGCGTGCACACACACACACACACACACACACACACACACACACACACACACACGCACACACACGAGATTACACTCACAAACACTCACCCGCTCCACACGCGCGCTTTCATCCCCAGATCATCGACAGCGTCCAGCTCATCACGCGCGACCCCAAGGGTGACCCACTAGAGGTCGCCCTCACCCGCGGCCTCGCGCACCCCAACCTCATGCGCACCGTCACCCACGCGTTCGGCGACGCGTCCGCGGCGCCGGGCGGCGGCGGGAAGTGGGCGGCGGGGCGGGAGGTGTGCTGGATGCTGTTCGAGCACTGCGACCGCGGCACGATTGGGGTGAGAGAGTGTGTGATGTGTGTGTGTGGGTGTGTGTCGCCGTTGTTGTGTGTTGGCAGTGTTGTCACGGTGCCATAATCTTATGCTGGATGCTGTTTGAGCACTGTGACAGAGGCTCGATTGGGGTGAGAGGGTGGGTGTGCGTGCGTGCATACGTGTGTGCATGCGTGTGTGTGTGCGTGTGTGTGTGCGTGTTGAGCGCCGTTGTTGTTGGTGGGATGCTGTGTTATCTTGGCGGTATTGTTCCAATCTGGATGCTGTTTCAACCCTGCCATCGCGGCACGATCGGAGTCCGACGGTGTTCTCTGGGCCGCAACGCTCCGCGCCGGCCGCCGCTTGCGCGTCGGAGCTCGACGCCCCCTTTCGCAGCCGCACGCCAGTTGCGTGTCCGCAACCCCCCTCCCCCTTCTTTCCCCTTGTCCTCCTTTCCTCGTCCCTCGACTCCATCATGAGTTTCTTGACCCGGGCATCCTATTCACCTAATCGGTGCAATAATCACATCCAACTTATCCATTTAATCTCCCTACCAGCCAACCCATTAAATCATGTTGGCCCTGCTCAACCAAAACAGGATGCGGTGATCAAGGGGTGGTTCAGGACCGACAGGGACCCCACGCGCGGCGCAACCGACCTCCGCCAGGTCAACGCGGCTTTGGGAAACGCGGCGCGCGCCGCGCGCACTCGGCGCCCCCCGCCGCGCCCTGCGCCACGCCGCGCGTCGCTCGGCCCCGCACGCCGCGAGCGCCTGAGCGCCCATGTCGTGTCGCTTCGTGATGCGGGCGCGCCTTCCCTTGCTCCACGTTGGCGGGCGTCTGACGTGCGCGCCGCGCGACGCCGGCCGCCCCGCCGGCCGCCGCGCCTGTTGCGCCCGCCGCGTCCATCGCCCTTCCTGCTTGCGTTGGCCGCGCTCTCCCCCACCCGCAACCCTACCCAACTTGCGCCGCCAACACAGGTCGCGCTGACGGCGCTGGAGGTGGCGGGCGCGATGGCCTACCTGCATAAGCGCGGCGTCGTGCATGGGGTGGGTGCTTGCCCGCAGGTTGCTTTTCTTGCTTGTGTGTGTGTCCGTGTGTGTGCGTGTGGCTTTTATCAAGGGTGCGTGTGGGGGGGGGGGAATGGCATGGGGTGAGCTGCGGCTGCAAGGGCAAGGCGTGGGGCACGCCGCCACTTCTGAAGCACCGCTCCCCCCGGTGGTCGCACTCAAGGACGCGGGCAGGGGCGGGCGACGGCCGGGGTCGGCGCGAGGGCGGGGGCCGGGGCCGGGGCCGGGGCACGAGCACGGGCCCTGCAGGGCGCG